GACATCTGCTGGAAGGGCGTTCCACAGGGTGGGCGCCACTACCGAGAAGGCCCTCTCCCTGGTTCCCTGTAGCTTTGCTTCTCGCAATGAGGGAACCGCCAGAAGGCCCTCGGCGCTGGACCTCAGCGTCCGGGCAGAATGATGGGGTGTTATGGTGGCAATGAGGTTCCATTTCAACAGATGTAGTTCTGCTTTTAAGCCAATGTAACAACTTTGCCTACTCCCTGCCCAGGGAGTGGGGGGGGGGCGTTTATTGGTTTGTTTTTCTTCTTGTTTTTATTATGTATTTTTTTTATCTTGTATTGTTATGTTGTGAACCACTCAGATCTACGGATGAAGGGTGGAATACAGATTTAATAAGTAACAACAACAATTCTCCTATAAGAATGAAAGCTTGTAATCTGTATGTCTATTGATGTGGCATATTGTTCTGATAGTAGCGGTTTAAAATTACAGCTGATGGTAATGTTTCAAGCTCACTCCAGTGTTTTTACACTAGTGTTTCTTCTAGCTAGGTGCAATATTATATTTTCCCCTATGATACATGTTTTCTTCAAGTATATAATGTGATAGATTCTTGCCTTGCTTTAACATAACATTGAAAGAAAAAAAAGGGACCTGCTGGTTCAAGGTGGATGGTGATGATAATGATAGTCAGTAGAACTTGATAGTTTTAACCTCAAGGCTGTGGGTTCAAGCCCCATGCTGGGCAAAAGATTCCTGCATTTCAAGGCGCTGGACTAGATGACTCCTGTGGCCTCTTCTAACTTTATGATTCTTTAACAATGATAATAATTTATAATGGTTTAGACTTAGAGTTGCATAGTGGAGCATGGAAGAACATTCTGCTGCCTGAGCTTAGATTTATGATCTAACTTTGGAATCTGCCCCCCACTCTTAGGATTGCGTTGCTGATGTGGACCAAACTGTCACATCTGTCTCAGGCTAGGCCACTTGTTATAACAACCTTTGCCTGAGAGACATGATCCATTCTCCAGATCCAAGCCCCAAGGCCTCTCACTAGTTTCACTGAGCTTTTATAATCTCATACCAGTGACTTTTCCATTGATGGGGTGGCTTAGGTTGATATTAAACTTGTCTTTCAAGACCTTTATAATACTTAGTAGTAATACTGCTTTGCTTGTTCCAGTGGCTGTTCAAAGTTATAATGACAAAGGGCACTTGTCCTCTAGTGGCTGTGGTTTCTTGCTGCATAAAACCCATAAGTCCTCTGGAGCAAAGTAGTAAATTTTCCTTGGAAAGGTTTATAGCTGAGTACACTGAAAGCTAAACACTGAGGCTGTGGGCCAGCAAAAATCACAAATCCTTGCAATGAAAACATTCCAGGCGTATTGCTAGAACTGTCACCTTTCCTGCTAAACATTTTCTTTTAAAAACAAAATATCACTCAGAGGCAATGTGTGGGACATAAAAGCTGAAATAAAAAAATCTGTTCTACTATTCCCCCCCCTTTTGCATCCAGTTGTTTTTACCTGATACCCATTTTTGCATATCAACAGACCAAAAGAAATAATGCTGTCGCTATTTTCAAGGGCTGAAAGAAAATCGCTTGTGTGGGGAACTTCTTGAAGGGTGGTATATAAATCATTTAAATAAACAAAAATGAATAATACATCCCTATGCAAAAGTATTAGCAAATAGTGGATGCAAGCTCACAAGGGTTATGGCTAATAGGGTCTCTGAAGAATGTTGGGCAAATGATGCTTCAGCGAGGGCAGGCAAAATGGAGAGATTTTGAGCCAGGGTCCTGGGGAAATATTCAAAATGGCAGAGGGATATGCTACCTTAGCAACAAGTGTCAGAGGTGAAGCACAGAATAGCTCAGTCTGATATTTGAAGGAGAACGGTCCCCTCTCTCCTTGTCCTAGCAATGTGTTTCCTTTCATGTATTGCACACATTAGCATGTTTATGCAACTGATGTTTTGTGGAAATGGAAAGCACTTAGCAGCACCCGAGTCACCTAATGAATTATGTCCGTGGATGCTCTGCATAAAGGCTTCTTTACGCTTGTGCAACAGGGTTTCCTCCCCACCCCACCCCACCCCCAATTGGATTGGGTGGGTCAGGCAAACCCCTAAAACCTCACATAGCGGAAGGGAAGTGGGGATTCTTCTGTGGTGAGTGGAAATACTTGCACAGATGGAACGTTCGACATATGTTGGACGTTCATCACTTCTGAAAAAGTTTTGTGATTTCTTCATATTTGAATCCTCTGTTGTAATAAGGCGTAAACTTGAATTTGCTGTTAAAGAAATTCTCTCTCTCTGCGTATGTGTTTGTCTTGCACCAACTTTTTTTCTGCCTGTGTATGCTCCATATCCAACACCTTATTTTAGTAATGTACTCTTTGCTAGTGGCAGGAGATGGCTTACCCAGATGTCTTCAATTATAGGACTTCCTGTCAGGTGTGGGATCTCTTGGCTCAGACCAACCATGTGATAAAATTCTGGGATATGAAATTATACCAGCTGCTTGTTATGTGCCACCGTTTTAGAAGAAATCTATTTTAAAAGTTTGTTCGAATTATAAAGAACATGTAGGGCCTTGCGACAAAATATTGCAGTGTGCGCTGTTTTTATGGTCAGAGTTTCAGGCACATGATTCCTCCCTGTCCCGTCCCCCCACCGCAACAGTCAGCCAGCCAGCGTTCTGTGCCCACTGAGCATATCAGTCTTCTTTCAACTGCTCCCCCCTTTCATTTGCACTCCCTGTTTGTTTTTAGGGATGTGTGTGGAGTGGACACACTTGCCCAAAATTCCAGCTACATTACATTCTTTAACTTTTCTGCTGAAGTGTATGAGCCACCCCTTTCTATACCTGGGGACTTAAAAAAAAAAAAAAGCTTTATGGTGTGAACCAAAAAGTAACCAATATCATGAGGTGCTTTCCTTATGCCCTTTCATTCATATATATATATATATATATATATATATATATATGCTTTCGTAGATTTTCACGGGTACAGGAATGCAGGTTTTGGTGTCCTCGGGTGTCTTCCCGTGTAAAAGTTGGGGTGTCTAGGCGACGTTTCGACGAGGTCTCACTCGTCATCTTCAGGCTGGTGCTTTCGGCTTCTTACTGGAGCTCTGTTCCAGTAACAAGAAGCCGAAAGCACCAGCCTGAAGATGACGAGTGAGACCTCGTCGAAACGTCGCCTAGACACCCCAACTTTTACACGGGAAGACACCCGAGGACACCAAAACCTGCATATATATATATATATATATATATGCTTCTTCTGTACTCCTTTTTCAGCAATGCCTTTCTTCCCCCTCCTTTCCAGTTTTTTTTCCTTTTTTTCTTTTTTTCTTTTGTAGATTATCCCCACTTTAGCATATTTTAAATTCAGGTTTATTTTGGGGTTACATCAAGTTTGTAAGTGAGGCTACATAGAGTATACAGAAAGCCTAAGAGGTAAGTCCATAGGGCATACCCTCCATTAAGCAAATTAAGTGGAGCTTTAACTTAAGACAAGATTTGGCCCCAAGCTTTTTCAATGCCATGTTTTGCAAATTGTGAGATAAATCAGTGGAAATGTACAGAATATATTTTTCTCATCACTGCATGCAGTTGAGAAGGCTCCTCTTGCTGATTTAGCACACTGGTACCTCCTGTTTTAAACTTCTAAGCCACAGAAGAGAGTGCATCTTGGGAGCAGTGTCAACTTTTCATATATTCAGCACTTGCAGCTGAACATAGGATTTTTCATATATGAACATCTGAAGCTGGCTTCAATGGGCTCATAACACTGGTCTTTCTAGCCTATAACCATCTCCTCTGCCCTGGAAGTGGCTCTTTAAGATCTCAGGCAGAGGACTCACACAATCCTGCTATCGGACATCCTTTGCTAGCTTCATAAGCAATTGAACCTTGGACTTTAGAACTCTTGGAACAGCTTTCTCCAACCTGGTGACTTTCAGATGCTTTTGGCATACAAGTCCCATCATCCTTGACCATTGCCCATGCTCACTGACACTGATGGTCCCAACAATAGCTGGAGGGGACCAGTCTGTGGAGTTACATGGCTTGTTACCTCATCTGCTGTTTGTGAGAACTACGTTAATGGTTCATGTATTTACTGCCTATTTCAAGATAAAGAACACATGTAATTTGGACTTAACATTTCTGAATGAGAGAAGCAGAGCCTAGATGGTGATTTGCATCCCTTTTGGGATTATACCAATTCAATTTCTGAAGAAAAATGGACAGAAAGCATTTGTAGCTACATTTATAAATAAAGTACTGAAGGCATTTCTCTAACCCAAGGCAATTTTATTTCCCCAAAATCACATTCATGACTGAAATGCACATACTGCTTAAAAAAGCAACACCACTGCAGAGCAGAACAAGGGCTTTGAAAACCATCTGGATAGCTGTTCAGGAAATTGGCAACACATTCAGAAGAAGGTTTTTTCTTTTTTATTATTGAATTACCAGAAACCAACTCTGTTGCAAAAATTCTCCCGCTCTTTTGTAAAGTGAGGAAAGCACGAAAAATGTGGCTATAATAAATATGGAACTACATCTGCAGTGGATTAACAATATTCTTTTGTAGACAAATTAAAAAATAAATTTGGAAAACTATAACAGCTTAAATGACCATTTCCCCCCTCTATTCCTTGTCAAAATGTCTTCCATTTTTCTTCCCCAGCCATGTAGTACTTTATTGTTCTGACTGCTAAGATGCCTATATCTGATTCTACTGATTGTAGTTCTATTTAACATTTATTTTTTTCTCACAGTATGCTAAGAACATAGAAGTGCCTCTCGTACAGACTTTTTGCAGTGGGCAAGTTCACCTACAGCACTATACAATTCAGTTCAAACACTTTATAGGGCGAAATGTAACAATAACTTGGATTCAGTGTCAAATAAGCTCTGATAACATTTTAAAAGTCCACCCTCCGTGTTCATTTAGTTCTTTCCTTTGCAACAAACTTACCTTTTTTCAACTTAACGCTTTTGTTTTGTGTTCCAGAGTAAGGAAATTGGACTTCAGATGCACGAAGAACTCCTGAAGGTGACCAATGAACTCTACACTGTGAGTAACATGACTCTTGTACTTCTAAAATGATTTTTTTTTTTTGGTCAGACTTTAGTCCAAAATCCGACATTACTAGGGTCTTCTTTTACTTTCCTCCTCCTCCAATAAATCACCCCAGAATTCACTTCCTACTCCCCTGGAGCTAGAGAGAGATGAAAAGTGACTGTAAATACTGGTTATGGTGGGAGTGCTAGAATTGAGAGGTGTAGTTGCATATCTGTTGAGAAATATACATGTTGCTGGTGGCAAACATCTCATTGTAGTGGCAGGTAGTATACCAGTGGAATGTTTATTACTCCATCACCACAAGATAAACGAAAGGCACTGCAGCTTAGGCATGCTTAACTGAAAATGGGACAGTAGTAAAGGCCTCTGGTGAGGCGGGGCAAGATGAAGGAAGAAGATGGTCATGGGGGTTTAGTGACAAGTACATTAAGCAGTTTAATATAAGATATTGCAAGTTTCTGAGATGGTTTATGATGTGATTTGAAAGTGGCATGTATGACACCACTAAACTGGCAATCCCCCTGCCTCTGCAAATGCCGTTGCTTCAATTCTCTCTCTATATATTTAATACTAGAAATTACAGAAATGGCTTAAGGTTGTGATATTTTGGCATGGCATTTGGAACTCAGTCAAGAGGTCATGTTTTTGGTTAGTTTTGAAACAGACCAGACTATGCACAGCCAAGGTACTTGCTCATAATTAAAACTGGGGGAAAACTCCCCCCTTTCTGTTTAAATTCACATTGGTATGTGGGATATTTAGTTTAATATATAAACTTTGTTTTTCTCCTAACTATGCCGTGCTCAAATCTCATAATATATAATATTCAGAGAGGTATCCTGAGTGCCCAGAACTGGACATAGTACTCCAGATGTGGTCTGACCAGTGCAGAATAGAATGGAACAGTTACCTTTCATGATCTGGACGCTGTGCTTTTGTTAATGCAGCTAAGATTGAATTAGGTTGTTTTTTTAAGAGCCTCATTCTATTTAGCTTTTGATCAACTAAATCAGCTAGATGCTCTTCACATGGCATGCTGCCAAACCAGGTATTCTATCTCTCTCTCCCACCTCCGTTTCATATTTGTTCCTCTGATCGTTCGTACCTAAATGTGGGACTTTATCTTTATTTTCATTGGAGTTTGTTATGGTGTTTTGGCCCAGCATTTCAACCCGTCAAGATGATTTTGAACCTTGATGCTGTCTTTTTATAGTGTTAGCTACCCCCCACCCCAGCGTTGTGTCATATGCAAGTTTGATAAGCATTACTTGTCCTCCGTTCTAATCATTTACAAAGTTGCTGAAAAGTACAGGACCCAAGACAGAGCCCTCTGCTCAAGCCCTCACTCCAGGTTAACAGAGAACCATTTAATGAGTTCCAGCTTTTATTTTTCTCTACAACAAAACATTTTTTATGCCAAGAAAGAAGTAAGCTAGGAATGTGGATACGGTTGCCAGGTCACTTGAAAAATAAGCTCTTTTGTGTATTCCTTTGGGGACCAGTGTGGCATAGCCTAAGATCCTTGGTTGACAGGAAGGTTGAAAAAGAACAGTGGTAGCCTGAATGGTGTGCTCCAGATGCTGTTGGAGCACAGATGTCATCTTCCTTCACAATTAGCCACGGTGACAGGGTGGATGGGAAGGCAGCAACATCTGGAGGGCAGCACTTTGGCTGTCTATGCCTAGAGTGTCCATGGAGAGTTTGCTACTCTGTGTAAAAGACAAAAACAAAGCAAGTGAAGCAGCATCATGGGTTGATACTGTCTCACGATGTCTTTGAGGCCACACTTTACATAGGATGATGCCTTATGCAAAATCAGATCACTGGTCCATCTAGCTCAGTATTGCCTATATTGACTAGCAGAGGCTGTCCAGGTTTTCAGACAGGGATCTCTCCCTGGAAATACCAGGATCCAGGGATTGAACCTGGGACGTTTGCCAGGCAAAGCAGATGCTCTGCTGCTGGACAACAGCTCTTCTTAACTGCCTAGAGCAGGTATGGGGAACCTCCAGTTGGTGCTTTACGTATAACTTCCAACAGCCCAGACCATTGGCCATGCTTGCTGGGGCTGATGGGTGTTGCTGTTCAGCAGCATCGGGAAGGCCAAATGTTCCCCACCCTGGACTAGAATTAAGGCAGGAAACAATTTGGATATAAGGCAGCTTCATATGTTATGATTTCAGTGTTCCCTTATTGTACGTGATCATAATAATGTCTGTGCTCCTAAGCATGGTTGAGCAATATGGATACAGGGCACTGGGAATGTCTGATAGGCTGTGCCTCCCCACGTTGTGTAACTGTGTGGAAAAAAATGTTTCCCTGATGTCATATGCAAAGACTGGTGGAAGTGGAGGACCGTGTGGAATGCATGTTAACAGGGCCATAAAACCAATTTATTTTTATGCAACATCCTGAATATTTAGAAATAGTTTTATTACTATGCATTGCCTAGAGTACTGTGCAATAAATAGATATTAGTTTTATTTATTGCAGAATACTTTGGGTAATGCAAATTAATGATGCAAAAAGTGACAGACTTTATTGCTGTGCCTTGTAAGAATAAGCAATGAGCTTTTTTATATCTACGCTTCCGTGTGTGTGTGTGTGTGTGTGTGTGTGTATGACACAGATTATATATATATGCATACTTTGCTAATCAATGCATACTTTGCTAATCAATGCAGTAACAGGATCTAGTGACTAACTCTAAAGCAAAAAAAAAGAAATGTCATAGCAGACAGCAAATGCCAGCTAAGTCACATTCAGCCCAAGTCCTTTAGGACTCTGATTGGATTCTATCTGACATTTGAAGGGACAGTTACATAACAAGGTGTGCTCTAGGCAAATATGTGCCTCTGCAATCCTGAAAAACAGCCGCAGCAGCTTAGAAAGAAACTGTATGAAAGACTATTTAAAAATACTTTAAAAAAATAGCCCCAGCAGATTATTAAGAAGCATCACCCCCCCCCAAAAAAAAACCCTGCAAGAAGAGCTGGATGGTAGCTAGGGATGGAAGCAGACAGACCTTCTGTTTTGGGAGGTTGTTTTTAGCCTTCAGTGAGGCCCTGTGTCTTATACCTGCCCTCCATAATTTTGACAGATTGGAGACATAGATCAGAAGCTTAGAATTTGCCATTTTTATCTTGTAGGTTTGGCAGGGAGGAGACAGTTCTTTAGGTATCTGGTCAGGACTTCTTTCTTTCACCACCACCACCACATCCTATTTATTAGCTGCTTTTTTAAAAAAATGGAACTCAAAGCGTCTTACAAAAATAAACATTAAAAATAACCTATAATACATACTATATATTAACAGAAACCTACCCCACTGAAAGATAAGCAGAAATTTAAGAGGCAAAGGAACACCTGTCACCTAAAGACAGATAGTGATGGCGCCAGGTGTGCCTCCCTTAGATGCTTTTAAAAGTTAAAACTAGCACTTTGAATTGAGCCTGGCGGGGAGCCAGTGAAGATGACATAACATTAGAGTTTTGTGATCCAACCGGCAAGTCCCAGTTAACACTTTCTTTCTTTTTTTTACCAACTGAAGTGCCTTGTCTTACAGGGCAACCCCATGTAGAGTGTGTCACAATAATTTAATCTGGATGTGACTAGGACCTGAATGACTCAGATTCGATCTTACTTTTTCAGGAAATTGGGTCCTCCATTAAAGAGGGCATGTATTGCAGTGAGACCTGGAAAACCGACACCCTGTGTTGTGGGTGGGTACGATTGGTCAGCCACAACACCCGATTGGTAGTTCCCTCGAAGCTGGGTACAATCTGGCCAATGGGACGCAGTCCAAACAGTTCGAGGGACAGTTGAGACAGGGGCAAGGCAGGAATTTTCCCCACTTGGCTGATTGGCTGTTGCCATTTGGGTTTCGCCTGCTGTATAGCAAATTGTCACAACTTGTAAGATTGTGGATGGGCTCTGGTTCAGGTGATAGGGATGGGAGAATACTCTCGCCATCACTATGTGAAGGGTATACCGTTAAAGGAATCCAGGAACTCAGTGGTTTGGTCAATCCCTGTGAGGGGGTTGTGCCCATCCCTGAGTCCAGGGGGACATTTGGGTGGTGGAGTTAGCCCGTTCCCGGCTTTCCACTTATCCAGGTGTTCACCTTTGGCTGACCTATGCTGGAACTCTGGGTCAGCGCTACCTGCATGGCAGCGAGCTAGTCAAACCAGAGCCTAGGCAACCAGTCACATTCTGTAATCAATAAAGTTGTGGCCTAAATTCTGCCAAAAACCAAACCAAAATTTTGAGTCATATGTGAATTCATTTTGGGGGGAGGTTTCTGGGTCTGAACATGTGAAAAATCTTTCGCTGGCACTCCAACAGAGGAACTCAACATTGTACTAAGTTGAGCATTCCATTAGTGCTAGCATTTCAGTTTTCTAAAGGGAACAACCCCCCTTTTCTCCCTCCATGCTATTCCAAGGGGTTCTCTTGATCCCCCCCAGAGGCAATTTCAGGGGACATGGATTCTTGAGATGAATCCCACTCTGAGTTTTCTCTCACCCACCAAACTGTGAGCCTGACATTTAACAGCAGAGCACAAGCCATAAGAATAGTAGACGAGCATGTTGAATCAGTGCAATGGCCCATCTAATCCAGGGTCCTGTTCTCACAGTGACCAGTCAGATTCCTATGAAAAACCAGCAGAAATGACCTGAGTGCAACAATACTCACCCCTTTTCCAGTTGGTATTCAGAGGTATACTACCTCTGACAATGGAGGTAGAACACAGACAGCATAACTAGTAGCCATTGATTGCCTTAACCTTCATGAATTTGTCTAATATTTTAAAGCAATCCAAATTGATAGCTATCACTGCCAACTATGGAAGCAAATTCCATAGTTTAACTGTGTGCTGTGTGAAGAATTTATTTTTGTCAGTTCTGAATCTTCCAAGCCTATCCAAAGCTGACTGTATACCTGCTCCAAATCAGCAAAACACCCAGTTCCATCTTGTCTGGATTAAATTTTAGATTCTTTGATCTTATCCAATCCAATATGATGCAGTCTTTCTTGTAGGATTTTTTTGGGGGGTGAACAAGATTCTATAAAGCACCTTGCAGACAATGTGTATTATTGTCACCTAATGCAGAATAAGTGGAAGGGTTCTCTAAAAGTAAATGGATCCAGATACCTCTCAACCCCACCCCCACTACAGTTTTCAGCTTTTCTAGCATGAAATCCCATTTTTGTCCTCTGTTGCCTACATGTATGGTTATGGTATGGAGTAGATGGGTTCAGAATTCCTCTTCTTGCATAGCCTTGAGCGATTGCGCACCCTAGGCTGAAGCAAACCTAAATTTGACACCTAAGAGCTGCAGCCACCCACAGTGCTCTAACTAGTCTATAAGATACATATCTGTAAACACATGTTCATCACATTCTGGCTTAAAATCTGTTTGATGTAATGTATGAAGTGATTGTATGGCCTTTGACAAGTCACAGTCTTTCAGCCTCATAATCCCTCCGGTCAAATGAGAATCCTGGTGGTGCACCATAGAGTTGTTATGAGGATGAAGCACAATGTAAAATACGTTGCCTATTAAAAGAGAAGTGAATGATTAGCTGGGGGAGTCTTGAGCTACCTACATACTCTATGCCTTTAAAGCACATTCATTTTTTCCAAAAAATTCTGGACACTGTAGTTTAGTGCTCACAAAGTTACAATTCCCAGCAACCCTTAACAAACTAAAGTGCCCCAGTTTTTTTGATGCAGGGAAAAGTGCTTTGGGTGTGCTTTTAAGGTACCAACCTTTGCAACCACTGAATTCATTGTTTTCGTTATAAGGTGACTCGCTGAACTTCCTCACCTTTCAGGTGATGAAAACATACCATATGTACCACGCTGAAAGCATCAGTGCCGAAAGCAAACTGAAGGAAGCCGAGAAGCAAGAAGAGAAACAGTTCAACAAAGCAGGGGACATCAGCGTGAACCTGTTGCGGCATGAAGATAGGCCCCAGCGCCGCAGCTCTGTCAAGAAGATTGAGAAGATGAAGGAAAAGGTGAGTGAAGGGTTCTCCATGTGGCTGGACTAACAGGTTGATAGAAGGATGCCAGTGCCAACCATGCTGTTGCCAGTGTCACACATCTACTGAGAATGCTTTCCAAGCTCAGTGATCCTTTATGGCGTTTATGGCTGGTGATCCTTGGTCACTTGTGTTACTGAAATATTTCTTTGAATGAATTTGAACTGCTTGGAATGCCTCCTGTTTGCGATAATGTTTGCATGCAATTTCACTGACGAACGGCTTTGGATGGGCATGCAGAAAGTCTTTTCTCTTTACTGCTTGTTAGCTGTGGAGATATGCCCCAAATACAGCAGGTAGCTAGAGCTCTTAGGCCAGGCTTCCTCAACCTCGGCCCTCCTGATGCTTTGAGACTACAGTTCCCATCATCCCTGACCACTGGTCCTGCTAGCTAGGGATCATGGGAGTTGTAGGCCAAAAACATCTGGAGGGCCGAGGTCCAGGAAGCCTGTCTTAGGCAGACAAGCAGGCAGTTTCCCTGCAAGAAGCAGAGCCTGGGGGCACATTGTGGAGCACTTCCAAGGAGAGGGGTGTGTTACATCAGCAGGGTTTAATGTGTTCAACCATTCAATTGCCCAATACTAGGAGAGTTGAAAAGGGCGGCTGGAGGGAGGGAAGGCCTCCAGAGTGATGGCTCAGAAAGCAAACAAAACAAAAATGACCCAGACATCCAGTACAAAAAGGGCAGGAATTGGAAAAGTCCTACAATAGCTGCTCAGGCAGTGTCTCCACAGAGAGACCAACAGAGACAGTCGGATCCAACAGAGACAGTCGTGTTCTGGCTCCAAGAGGCTTGGTTGACTGCAGAGCGAAGGAACTTAGCAGGAAATCTAGTCTGCTACAGTAATGCTTATCTGAATAAATGGAGGGGGCAGTCACCTCATGCGTGTGTTTAGTGCTCTGTGGAACGTTACACTGTTTTTGCAAGATAGTTCCTATTGCTACAGTCATAAGTGGAATATTAAACAGTCAGGGATCACCACCCGTTCACAGTAATGTGCTCGTTAGACAAATGTGGAAAGTGCAACAAAAGTAACACTCTGAAAATAACCAGAATTATTTCTGACTGTAAAGCTGAATTAACCTTAGCTCTAAGGGTATCGTTCCTGATGTCCTAACTATGGAAATTAGGAAATCAGAAATGTGCCACAGTCTTGTGTACTGTGCCCCTCATATGCAGAATGTCTCTCCCTTCGCCTTTCAGAGGCAGCCATGGTTCATTGTAAACAGAGTTTGCAACCATGCTTCAAACTCTGGTTGCAGACTCTGGAAATAGAGGAAAATGAAATTACATATCCGCATATCATCCACTTGTGATGATGGGTGGGCTTGCTAAATAAATCAATCTACAAATTAGCCTCACTATTTCTCTAATGATAATGGGTTTGCAGTCCAGGCTGGGCTGCCCTTGGATCTCCAAGCCCCTGGAAAATTGTATCCCTCCTCAGTTTTACCATGTTTGGGCCCTACAGTTGGAAGGGACAGTTTGCTATCATGAACAGAACTAGAGCTGTGTGTCTGCAGCAGAGTATTATGCATAATAGTAGCCTGCCCTTTAATCCAGTATTGCTTGTCTGGGCAGTGAACCTGAATCTGATGACTGAATTAAAAATGGGCCTGAGGAAAATCTACATACAAACGGGAAGTGAAACTGAGAGTTTTTAAATGAGAAAATAGCTCTGAAAAGTGCTATGTGGGAGTGGCTGAGACTGGTTGAATCACAAGGCAATCAGGTTTGGAAGGGGAGAGCCAGAGGGTAGCACTCCAACTGTTGTGTTAAATTATACCTGCTAATTCATTCTGCTCCTAAATTGACTCTGGTGCCAAAGAACAATAAATACCATAGAATGCACTTGACTGCTGATTTGAAGAAGCTCAGATTTGTAATAGATTTATAACAGATGCTTTCAGAGATGATGGTTTGAAGGATTATGTGGTTTTTAATTGGACTGCCTTCCTTCACCCTTGCTTTCCTTCCACTGGCAAATGCAGATATACCGTATTTGTTGCTGCTTCTCCTCTCGGAGGGACCTTCCCTATGGTTGGAGAACTGGGCAGGTTGTATGCACACTGAGTACTTGAGGATATATGCTAAACGTGACATCCTCCTTTTTAACATTAAATTAGTGTATACTATAGAACTCTAGCCCTAAAGAGGCTATAGGGATGGTGAAAGGCCATATTTCTATATAAATCATACAAAGAATTCTCTCACATCTGTTTTTTGCATCCTGCACACAGGACAGGTGACGGGTGCCAGAAAGTTTTGACTGGTTCTCAGCACACTCCTTATCTGACCTGTACAGGGGAATGAGGTGATTGAATGGGCTATACCACTTATACGTAAAATTTTCTTTGTTAGTAAAACAGAAACACAGAAACTAGCACAGCAGAGAGCAGACTGCTATAATAATCCTTTTGGATGTGCTTTTTATTAAACACGAGGAAAGCCTTTAAAAAAAAAAAAATTGGCATCCTCCACCAGCATTCTGAAGTGGTGCAGGGTCACCCTGGAATTCTGCCACCTCACTCGACAACACCTGTGAAACAGAAAACGATCCTTCTCTCCTTTGTGAGCAGCAACAGAGGCTTTAGTAGCTTTACACCCTCAGCCACTTACTCCTATTTTGCCTATGTCTACACTTGCACACGAGTGTTAGTAGTTGAGGGGCGTAAAGAGAAAAGTTCACTATACTTGCTTTAGTGTTGTGTCCAGACCAGAAATCATGGTTTGTCTTACTCAAAAAGGCTTGTTTGTCTGAGTGAAACAAACCATGATCCCTGGCACTTGATACTTTGTACCACGTAACATGCTGTTTGCAAACTGGGGCCAGTAGGATCACATATTTCCTATTTGACTTACTTCTTCAACAAGTTGTTTATAAGCACTTACAATGGTTTCTGCAGAGTGGTTCTACCTTAACTTGATGTTCTTATTCAATAAGGGCTTTGAGTCTGTATGACTCTGTCTGCCAGCTCCTGCATTCCGAGACCTTGTATATCTTAAATTTGCTGCTCCCTCCAGATTTACCATTTCTTAGCTTCCGTGAAGGAAATTAATGTACATGTATACTATACAACCCTAGCCCTAAAGAGTCTTTAGAGCTCTTTATATGTTACATCTGGTTGTTCAGCAAAGTTCATTATTTACGACATTTACCGTATTTTTCGCCCCATAGGATGCACTTTTCCCCCTTCAAAAATGAAGGGGAAATGTGTGTGCGTCCTATGGGGCGAATGCAGGCTTTCGCTGAAGCCTGGAGAGCGAGAGGCATCGGTGCACACCAACCCCTCTCGCCCTCCAGGCTTCAGGAAGCTATCCGCAAGCCTTGCGCGCCTGGCGGGAGGTCCCGTCGGGCGCGTGAGGCTTGGGGCGGCAGCCTGCAGCCCGAAGCACGGGGAGCCCTCCAGAGGGCTCCCCGTGCTTCGGGCGGGTGTCCGCAAGGCTTGGGGCGGCAGCCGTGGCTGGGGGGGGGAATAATTTTTTTTTATTCATCCCCCCCCCAAAAAAACGAGGTGCACCCTATAGGACGAAAAATACGGTATCTCTTATCTTTTTTCCATCATGGAACTCAAGGAAGTATAGAGGTGGTTCCCAGGCAATCTTCCATCCAGGCACTGACTTGATCCAAACCTGCTTAGCTTCAACGCATGTAGACTGCTCTTCAAGTGCAACTTCTTTCACTCATTACTGGGTGTGATTTGAAGATTTGATGGAGCAAATTCCATCCAACACTAATTCCCTCTCCATGAGGTCATCTTGCACAGAAGGATGCACTTGGAACGCCTGAATTAATCTTCAGCAAGGATGCAGGGAAAGCAATATATATAGTGGGGCAGCAGTGAATATTAGATCTTTATCGTACTTCTTCATTAAAAAGTCTGACATCATTGACTAGGCTCCCATATGAATGTGAATTAGTTTATCCTCCCCAGTAACTGATGTGATTGATGCGAAACCGTTCTCCAAGCATGCAAGGTGGATGTAGGGTGTTCACTGAAATAGAATGCACTTTCTGTGCTGGGTATGTCTGGAAGAAATTGCTGCAGCTGGATAAATCTGCTGCATTTCTCTCCAATACCATAAGTTTTTTTTACATAAACACAGCAATGCTGTGCGGTGCTCCTTATCACAGATTTCATGGAGGAATAAGACCATCAGTGGTTACAAGGCATGATGGCTAGATACTACCTCCACCAGTGGAGGTGGTATGCCTCTGATCATCAGTTGCTGGAAAACGTAAGTGGCAGAGTGCTACCATGCTTATGTCCTGCTTGTGAAAAACAGGATGTTGGACTAGAGGAGCCTTTAGTCATCAGAGCTGCTTTTATGTTATAAGAGCTTAAAATTTGGTATGCAAATACCAGAATTGGGATGGCCTATTCACCTTTTTAAAAATGTGTGTACCATTTTGGATGTTTTTCAGAGGCAAGCAAAATACTCAGAAAATAAGCTGAAGTGCACTAAAGCTAGGAACGATTATCTGCTGAACCTGGCAGCGACAAATGCAGCAGTCAGTAAATACTACATCCATGATGTCTCAGACCTGATTGATGTGAGTTATTTCTCTCTCTTTCTTTTGTTAATGCGCAGATACTCAGCTCTCTTCCCAAGCTGGCAGCTGCACCTGACACCCTGTTTGTGTCTCTGAGCATGTCAGTGCCGTAGAATTGCCTTGCTTCTGCGGTGTTGCATTGTTGATTTGACATTGTTCGCTACCCATTACTCACAGAACCAGGATACAGCATTGCAACGTTTGAATCAATCTTTTTGAATAATTACTTGTGTCTAGCTCAGTACATTTATACATCCCAGGACTTTGATCTTCTGTAGGACATGTGAGTGGATGTAGAGACTCTCACCGTGTTTATCATACCATCTCACCTAGTAGCTGGGTTTTTGAACCACTGGTGTGTTAGAACTGGGCTGAACTTGGACATGCAATGAGTGCACAACGTAGGGATCTCAGCGGTAGATGCTATTTATTTCTCTGAATACAAGATGAAGTGTATTGGAATAATTCTTTAGGGAGAAGACCAGTCAAGGGCTTGAACTGGAATTTGAAATTTGATCAGGTATGACTGTAGCCAGGCAGAAGCAAAAACTAGTGACGCTGTAGCCTGAAGAGGTACTCGGTTGGGAGCTGAAAGAGAAAGTGGGAATCTTTTCTCTGGCCATTCATGATCAATTAGATTATTTTATGCAGTGCCTTTTTTGTAGAAAAAAAGGTGTCGGTACTCATTATGACGTACCCTTCTCGGCAGCGGCAGAGCAAGCCGATCGGGCGCCTGGGGTGGCACATGTGCCCTGCGCCCAGGGGTGGGGCCAGCCGCCTGTGGGGGTGGGACAACCCAGGGCAGGACACTCCGTGGTGCCCCAAGGAGTCTGCCTGCCTCCTCCTACTCAGCCACCCTACAGCTGAGGGGAAGGTGGTGGGCGGACCGTTTGGGGCAGCGCGGAGCCTGCGGGTGCCCAACCACCGCGTCACTCCCAGGAGAGATGTGTGGCTCTGGTGCGCTGCAGGCCCCACGGTGAGTACTGTCTGGCATTTTGTCAGCCCCCTCAGTGGTGACACCCAGGGCGACCCGCCCCCACCGCCCCCCTTCCTCCACCCCTGCTTCTCGGCCCACTGGCTGTGGCTACTGCTAGGCGGGTCATGCTGCGGGCTGGGCTTGGTGCGGGATGAGTGCCTGGAGCTGGAAGCTGCTGCTATGAGATGTGGCTTTCCACCTCTGCACCATCCGCGAGGGCTTTGAGGAAGACTATGTCCTCTTGGTGCTGCCTGGCCACCGCCATGGACCCAGCTTGCCTGCTGCCCACCTTCCACTGGCCTTGGAGCTGGCTCAGTGGCAGGTGAAATGGCAGCCCGGTAGCTTCCTGCCTCTGTGCCTCCACAGGATGAGGAGGAGGAAGCACCGCCTCTGGGGCTGGCAGTGCTGAGGGGCCAACTGCTGTGGGCATGAGAGAAAAGGCACACTCTCCCCACATGCTCGCTTTAGAAGTACCACCAGAAAAAACCCACTCCTTTAAGGAAGGCTAGAGAGAGAGATGGCACCTGTTATGCCTAAAAACAGGTATTTCAACTCAGAGGCTCATATGTTGGTGGCTGACCCTTACAGAGGCATCTGCATAAGAATTCATACAATGTGTAGAATAAAATAAGATAAATCTAGTTTATCTTATAGGCTTGGACACTAGGAATCTCTGGGTTTTCATGTACTTTACACTTATTCATTCTACTTCAAAAGAGCCTTGTAAGCACATTAGATACTGGGAATGGCTCAAGATAAGGCTGACCATATGTATTCATGCACTTGTTCTGTCCAATGATGCAAGAAATAAGGTTTCTACAGTTTTATGCTGGGAAATCTGTCTTGCAGTAAGGCATTTCTTCTTGCTAGTGGGATATAAATTGACTTCTGTTTGCTGTAATGGCCATGTAAATAACAGTGGTCTGTGTAGGAAGCCTTAGTTTTGGTTTAAATGTCACGTAAGTGCATCTGGAAGGTAATGTCATTTAATTTAATTTAATTAATCCTTTAAATCATATTTATTGTTCCATGCTAGAATTAAAAGAGAAACCTGTTGTAGGATTTTGAAGTCTTATGAAGATTTTGAGATATTTTGGTAGACATGTTGTATGGAGCGTGTGAGAGTTTATTGAACAAAATGTTTTGAGCAATTTGTAACCCCACTCCTTCTGTAAAAGGCTTAGGTTATTTTATTCTTTCATTTACTTATTTATTAAAATATATACAGGCGGTGACCATTTCGCACAGGGGTACCATTCCTGGCCCTGTGTGTGTCAAGAGAGCACGCATAAGTGCGCCCCTCCCTATTATGTCCACGTTCTGCGTGTCGGCAATTGCGCATCAATTGGACATGCTAAAATGGTCACCACCTGCACCTCTATTCACAAAAACTATAAGAGTGTTTTACAACAGTCATGCATAAAGTCATGCAATAAAAACTATAGGAAAAATTAAAACCAGAGATCAGCTAACTATTATAGAAAGACATATTCTTAATTGCCTGTATAAACCTGGAGGAATAGAAAAGTTTTCAGCAGGTGTTTAAAGGTTGAAACAGAAGCACCTGCCGAATCTCTATTGGCAGGGTTTTCTATAGTGCTAGGCCAATGATACTAAAGGCTTAGATTCTTGTTGCTGTAAAATGAGCCTTGCCAACTTGGGGAAAAACCAATAATGTTTCTGCCGATGATCTCATTTATCCAACTGGGATGTAAGGATTCAGGCAGTCCCTAAGGTATCCTGGACTTAAGTTGTTCAGGGCTTTGAAGTTCTGCTCCTTCAGAGGGTGTGCAACCCATCCAGAACAGGTAACTTACCTGTCTCCTAGACAGGGAACCACCCACCCAAAGAGCCTCCGAGAGCCTTTGAGATTGATTTGCACCTCAGGTTTCCTACATTTTTATGTACGACGTTTTTATTTTCATGGAGTTGAATTTCTGGTTTCCTGGAGAGCTGCCGAATGCCAGTTTAGCTCTGGCTGTTTTTATGTCATTCCCCTCCAGTATATTTCCTTTCTGATACTTCCATTGGAGTCAGCAGATGGTTTTTATTCCTCACTCCAGGAAATCCCTTTAGGGGACTTAAACCAAAACATCTTTGATTCAGTACAACTAAATTTGCCTAATTATATATTCTTCTTGCCTGAGAAAACAAAGTGTTATTAAGGATGCATGAGCTGTATACGTGTGTCCTAATTTCAAGTTCCCCAAGAGAAGAGCTGTTTGTTTGAACAGACTTTCATACATGTATACTGTGCTTCAGAAGAGCCTTATAGGGCAGAGTTCAGAATATCCCAATATAAATGGAGTAGACTCATTCCCTCAGTTAGACATCTTCCAGGACTTGTAACATCAAGTTTTGAATTCCATAGTGTCCAATAAACAAGGAATAATATTGGATTTCCTGAGTCAAACAGGAATTATTTACACTTGGGCAGTCCTCATTTTAACCTCTGCTCACTAAATTAAGGGAAGGACCATAGGTCCGCAGAGGAGCACATGTTTTCTATACAGAAAGTTTGTTTCAATCCTAGACATCTCTAGATTATGAGAAGCAAGACTAAGGCTGTGTACAAACTCCCATTTACTCTGCATCTGGTGTGTTCCCACTGCTGGTTTGAGAAAGGGTGTACACACAATGTTAGCCACAATTTCTATCCCGTTGTTTCTTATGAAATATTGTTTTTACTTCCACTTGGTACCATTTTGCAAAATGAATGATTTACTTTCTCCCCATACCTATCTAGTGAGTTAATTGCTAAATTGGGATTTTCTTTGCCCAGAACTTGACCATATTGATTCAATGTTTTATGCCCCCAAAGAAGTGTGCCGCATCAGGTTTCTGAGTCTTGTCTTGGTTCTAGACCTCCGATTGATCATGCAACTTTGAGATGAGATTTAAAAAGTAAGGAATTTGATACAGTATTAGGATATTAAGTCTTAACAAGATACATCCTAGGCTAAAGCAACTGATACTGGTAATTGCATTTCTTTAATTTAATTTAATTTATTATTATTATTTTGGTAGCTCATACACTTGAATACACAGCACATTTTCATGTAACCCTTAGCCAGAATGGAGTCTAAGGAACTGAGCTAAGTAGTGATGACACAATGTGAAGTCCTAGGCCTTATTGTCAAAATAAAAACTGACAAATAACCAGGTCCAGATGGCATCCACCCCTGAGTTTTTAAAGAACGCAAATGTGAAACTGCTGATCTTCTAACAAAAATATGTAACTTATCCCCAGTATCAGCCTCCATACCTGAGGACTGAAAAATGGCCAACAAAACACCATTAAAAATAAATAACTTAAGGGATCCAGGGAGGATCCTGGAAATTACATACCAGTTAGCCTACCCTCTTTTCTGGGAAAAGAGTACATCTTATCTCACTAACCTATTATCATTCTTTGAGAATGTCAACAGCATGCCACTATGCAGATTGTGCTTTAATCAAACTGTACACTTTGGCTTAGAGTTGCATTCAAATGTGGCCATTATAGTTTAATTTCTACGCCGAAAGCACTTTATACTTCTACTTTCATTGTACATTCAGGCCCTTTGGAACAAATGTTAGAATGCAAAAAGGCTACAGAAGATTAGGTTACCTTTGGATTATTAAAGATGCTTCCCATTAACTTGTGTATGATGCTGGCTCATAGTTATTAACACTTCTTTTTTAGGATTAAAGATTAAAGAGCCTCTTAAATATCAATAACAGGGCTGCCAGTGTAGAATGGGAGCTCAGTTAAGTAAGCATCTTAAATGAGAAAGCTGAATGTGCATCTTAATGCAGTGTTTATTTACACCCACTTTCATGTTGTCCCAGTTACTCAGAGCTTGATTTTAAAGTAGGAAGTTTAATTTTGCAGTGTGTAATATCACTTGTAAGCAATTGTTGAATACTAAGAATAGCTGCATTAACTATACTACCTAATAATAATAATAATAATAATAATAATAATAATAATAATAATAATTTATTTATTTATATCCCACCAATCTGGCTGGGTTTCCCCAGC